CTAGCGGTCTTCCGACCCCGCCCCATTCCCCGTCCGCCCCCAGCCTTCTACGCAGCATCTACCCTGAGCCCCAGGCTCCCGGGCCCCCCAGTCCGCTCTCTCAGGGCGCTCGCTCCTTTCCCTTCCGGGAACGAGGCTCAGCTTGGAATTCGCAGCCGAGCTCCGGTAGGCGAGGCACGCACGTGGGGCATCCAGCGGGAGCCGGAGCGGATCTCCGTCCACCATCCCAGGGAGGGAGGAGCTGCTTTGGGACCCGATAGACCCACAAAACTACCCGCACAAGGTGCAGCTGCGTTGGTGCAAGGGAGGCGGCTACAGCCGGTTGGATTCAAGTTAGTCAAAGGGACTTCCGCGAGGGAAGATGTGTTAGGGTCAGACCAGAAAGAGCAGAGACTGAAACACGGAGATCACCTTTTATTTGGCTCTGGGGTGCCCCTGGGTCCCGCCCAGTCACAGCGGGGACTGGGGGAGGGAAGGAGGAGGCTGTTGGGGGGAAGACATCTGGGCAAGCCCAATGGAAACTTGGGGTCGTGGCCGCAATATACAGATGGGTAAACTGAGGCTAGGGGAGGTGCAGAGAGGTGCCAAGGTCACCCAACAAGCTGGGCACTGCGCAGGCCTCACTGCCACAGGTCCAGGAGACCATCTAGACTAGAACGCCATAGCCCAACTTTCCTTGGAGGCAGACCGGGGCCAGTATTGGGGCTCCGGCAGGTGGTATATTTGGCATGTGCCCAGGGAACAGGGGCCACAGAGGAGCGTGATACTGGGGTACAAACAGGAGAAATGGGGCTCAGTATCCGACAGGGCAGCTCTGAGATGCCTTCCTGTTCTGAGACTGAAAGCCTTGGCCTGAGGAGGCGTGTGCCCTTCAAGGTCTCCTTGCAGCCATGTCCCTGACACCACCAGCCTTTCCCACCTGCCCAAGGACTCGGGGGTCCCCCAGGGTGGAGGAAGCTAGAAGCAACAGCATGTGGGTGTTGGTCACCAGAAAAATCGGCCAGTGAAGTTGCCCCTGCGCGGGCAGCCCCGCCCCCTCCCCCCTGGTCTGGGTAAGGGGGGTGAGATGTAGCTCAAGGCCTGTTTTACCTCCCAAGAGAGTAAACCAGGCCAGAGAGGCAGGATTAGCACCCAGATCTCCACCTCCCTCCTCCACGGTCCCTAGGAGCCCTCATGGGCGTGCTGGTGCGCCCAGGCCTCAGGAGAGGGAATCCCAAGGCGCAGGGAAGACACGGGACAGCTGATACTTTCGAGTGGCGTCAGCATCGGCTTCCAAGGAAAGGGGTGGGGAAGGGGAAGCTCTGGGCTCCAGTGTAGCCCAGACCTCACTCTCACCCAGGGAGACTCCGGAACCTAAAGCCCCTGGGGATAGGGACAGAGCCCGAGCCTCAGCACAGCCAGTGCGGACACCAGCCTAGAACGGATCAGCTGCCAGCAAGCCTAGGGCTCAGCCGTACGGAGCAGGCGGGGCAGGCGCTGTGGAGACAGGGATGCTGTGCTGAGTGGTCCGGGTCCTGGGGGATGGGGCTGTGCCCAGGGCCATGGGGAGGGTGGGGATGAGGACACCGGGCCTGCAGCAGGGGCCTGTGAAGGTCAGTGGGACCTTGGTGCCCACCTCTGAGGTGGGGAGGCTCTGCTACCCTGAGGTGGGACCCCACACTAAGCCACCCCCCCAGAAGGAACTGACCCCAGCACACCTCCACCGCAACTCGGTTCCCTAGCTGCTGAGGGCAGGACAGTGCTCTCTGCCACTCAGCCCTGGCCTGGCCTTGGAGGGGCCTGGCCAGAAAAAAACAGAGGAATCGTGTGTTGGGGGAGACAGGGGAATGGCCTTTTGAGAAGCTTAAGGGCCCAGCTATACTGGGAACCCACACCCCAGTCCTCCACCAGCCTGGCAGTGCAGCTGGGCTCAGAGCCATGTCCAGTGGGGACGAGAGATAACAGGGCCTCAGGGGCAGGAGAGGGGACTGGGGGGGACAGGTTCACTCCCCCCAGAGAGGGTGGGGGGGAGATCCCCGGAGCGAGCAGGAGGTGAGCTGGGACAAGACTCAGGGCTGTGGTGAGACAGAACTAGACCCAAGTGAGGACAGAGACCTACGCCATCATCCGGGTACTCCTGGCTGCTCAGACTGAAACCTTAGCACCTGCACACAGAGCCCCAACCCCCCAGAAGCCAAGCTGTCCCAGCTGAGGATTTATTGGCATAAATGTAACCATATAAAAACATAAGTTATGAAAAACAGTCACAATGTGCCCACCCCCCAACCCTCCCATCCCGGGCCCAGGCCCCTGTCACTCCCTTGTGAGAAAAGGAGAGGAAGGGGGATCCCGAAACCGCCTAAGAAATGCCACAGCCGCTGGGCCTGTGCAGGGCCGGCCGGGCTGGGGTGGGAGACACCGGGCGCCGTCTCAGCGCATCCGGTAGTCGGTGGAGCAGGACAGCTCACACAGCTGGCCCTTGAAGTCCAGGTCAATGGTGAAGTCCAGGTCGCGCTGTGGGGAGAGGGAGGACATGAGGGGACCGGAGACAGGGCAGGCAGAGATGCAGAACTGTCCAGGTGAGGAGCAAGCAGAGGGGAGCACCCTCTCCAGTCTGTAATAACCCCACGTCTCTAGTGACCAGTGTCATCTGGGGCACAGCAAACAGTCCCTGGCTGAGTCCCTGCTTTAACGGGCTTGTCTCCCTGACTTCGAAAGTGGGTGCCACTCCCCTCCATCCAGGCTCCCTGGGCACCATCCACCCTTACACACAGACCTGATGTTTTGGCGCAGGCCACGCCCCTCCACTCAGGAATCAGACCCTTCCTCCTCTCATGAGGCTGAGCTGGAGCTCCCGACTCTGCCTCTGCCTCAGCACTGCCCCCAACCCCCAGGCCCCAGCCAGTGGCAGCTGCGTCCTGCCAGAGGCGCAGGAGGAACAAACGGCCCGGCCCTCCTTTGCTTCCCTGGATCCCCAGGCCCAGGCTGGGAAACCAGGCTCCCCCCACCCCACCTTCACAGCTGGCCCGCCCTCGCCAGCGTGGCACAGTCACCTCCCGCTGTCGTTCACCGCTGACCGTGACCCATGTCTAGATCGGGAACATCGGGAGGGCAGGGGTTCAGCCTGATCGTGGCTGGTCCCCAGGGCCCTCTGCCCGCAGGTCCCCAGTACAATCGTGTTCCAGACGGAGCCCCAGGAGCCCCAGACAAGCAGAGGTGCCTCCACAGTCCCCCCCCAGGTGCCCAAGCCTCACATTGTTCTTGGCGTTGGGCCGCATGCCGATGGTGCCGAAGATCTCCTCGCCCGTCTTCACCGTCAGGTAGTCCTCCATGTAGAACACCGTCTGCTTCCAGTGTGTGTACGGGGACTCGGGGCCTGAGGGCGGAGTCGGGTCAGCCCTTGGTCCTGCCCCTCCCTCTGCCTGGCACCCCTCCCCCATGGCTGTTTACGGAGCGCTGACTGTGGTCCACCTGCCCGTGAATCCTCCACCCCCCTCACCCCCGTCACCCCCGAGGGTCCTGCCCGGGCCCGCGGGTGGGGATGAGGCAGAGCGGGCGGCCCTCCCCGGACTCACTGGTGGAGAAGCCGGTCCTCTTGTGGCAGCGCGTGAACTCGATGTTGAAATAGGCCACCAGCGCGTGCACGTAGTCGTTCCGCTTCACTTGCAGGCAGAAGGGCGAGGTGAACGTCAGGTCTTCCACCTTCACGGTGTAGATGTCCACCTCCTGCGGGACCGGCCATGAGCCCACGCCCCCGCGGCCGGCCCGGGGCCCAGGCAAACGGGGAGGGGGTGGGGCGGGCAGGGCTGGAGTCCCCGTTCCCTCCTCTCCCCATCCGAACCCCAAACCCGAGTTATTCCTGGACCTACCACTTTACTTCGCCCCTCCCCATGGCCTAGCCCCTGTCCCATGGCCTCCTCATGGGGCTCCCTGCTTCTACCCCCCGCCCCGCCCACATAACTTAGCTGGACACATCCATCAGCCAAGGTGACAACTGTGAAACTAGCCTTAAACCCCGGACAGCTCCTGGACGCGCTCAGAACGCAGCCCTGGTTCTGATGCAGCCTCAGAGGCTGGGCCGGTCAGGCCGCCTACTCGTCTCCTGTCTCCTCTCCTCACTCCCTCCACGTGGGTCTGTGTGCCTCACAGAGGGATGTGTGTGACACGCCGGGGAGGGGCTCAACAATGGATCGCAGCCCGTGTCCCTGACTTATGATAAACTCGCTCCTGGCCCGGCTTCTTGCATTCGGTGGGCTCAGGTGAGCCCCGCCCGGGGGTCTGAGCTGCCGCCTGTGTTCCCAGCCCGCTG